ATCTGAGCTTGAGCTTCATTATCAATCCTTCCAATGAGCAGTCAGGGTTGATTTCCTTTAATATGTCCCTGTGCAGAGTCTCAATTGTAAATTTCTTAAGCTGCAGCTCCCACTAAGTCCCTTGAATTGCTAAAACTGATGCAGCAGAACCAAGGAAGAACAGTCACCTGACACCTAGTGGTGTAGTATGGAGGGCTGTATAAATTCACAGACAACCAATCAAGAACTCCTGTTATAGATCAGCAATCAGTTATTCACTGTGGTCTGTGAGATTCACACACATAGATGAGTAACAACTTCTTACCTGGAAGACAGCCTGGCTATAATAAGTATGAAGAGAATGGCCCCAAACATTGCACCTCTCTGGGAGCAGAGGTCCAAAGGCTGAGCCCATGTGGCTACCCAGCATAAGTTCAGTATGGAGTTACCACAGAGGAAAGGTGCCAATGCTGCCATCAGTTTTGAAAAGTGAGCACAGGTAAGGAGGAGGCATGGCTGTTTTGCCAACACATAGCAAAGCATTATGGTTGCCACCTCCATTTGGAGTAATGTTAAGGGATAAACCATGGCCTCTAAAGGACATAGGAAGGCCAGGAATAAACATTAGTTCTAGCAAAAGAATATCTTCCACTCCAAGTAAAAAGTGAGAACGTTGTAGACATCCAAAAATTTCCAATGACTTCAGGGACTGGCAAAATGTGGCAATGTAATGTTCTGATTCAGGTGGAAGGTCAAGACTGACTTTGGAAGGAAAGAACTATCTGGATAAAGGTAATCTGTCACAGTGCCTGCCCTATGAAACAGCATTCCCCTGGGAGATCCAGACAGCTGGACCCTGTTGGCCTTTATTAAGGCATTAAAGGCCTAGTTGTTCCCCCAGGCTTTGGGACTCAGAGGTTAAGACAGCCCTGATTTGTCTAGTTCAGTTTTTCTTTTTGCTCTGGTTGGAATTGGGCAAGGTAGGCCTCTTAGAAGGTTTTGAATCTCAAAGAGGAATTTCCTTGGGTCCAACAATAGTGCAATACAGACTTGAGGGTCTTCTGCAGGCAGTGGAGATCAGGAGATCTCTCAGACAAGGAAGCGGCCAGGAAATTTTGGGGATATGGTAGGAGGCATAACAAAAAACAAAGGGGCCACAATAGCTTTGGAATCTACTACCCTTAATGCTTGTCTTAGAAAGTTCAAAGAAAGACTCACAAACTAAAAAAATGATTGTGATAAGTCTGTTAATAAACACCTAACAATGCTGACAAGCATCTACTTTGTGACCTTCATTCCAGGTAAAAAAGACACAACTTAAACCCCTCCAAGGGGAATGTCTGCTGATTTTTGTCTTGTGAAATGAGCCCCTGAGAGCCATGAGGCCAAAGACTTGTAATGGGAGGTACACGCTGTCCTGCTGAACATCTCTATGGAGTTTTGAAGACAATTTCACAGAATTTTAAAGAAAAAAAATGAAAAAGGAAGATTTTATGTAAAGCAGAAAGATAATAATCTCAAGCATAAATGTGCTAATATTTGGTGGTTAAAAACAACTAAATGTCTTGGCAGGAGCCACACCTTGTTGAATGATACACTTATAGGGTGGACCTCCCACCAAACAACCCATGAGCTCTAGAAGGATCTGAACAGGGGTCTGCACAAGTGTATGAACAATAATACAAATAATAAAAATATGGAACAAAAATTAAAATCAAAGCATGTAAATTATACATATATATTAAATCAGAGACTAGCTACAAGCAAAATAAACTATAACATATTTACAAGTCACTTTTTGACCAAAGACTATCTAAATGAAAATAATGGCAGTCCAAAAACAAAGGTCACAATGGAACTACTTCAGCATTCCTCCTTGCAAAATAATCCAGTGCTCAACTGCACATCTATTGTTATATATAATAATATTTCAAGTTCTAAAATTAACCTGTATAAGTATATTTGCATTTACAGTTCCACTTCATTCTTAGAAAATGAAGTGAAACAGGGATTAGTATGGGAATGGACAAAAACCACTACAAAGATAGTTACCTTGATCCTACAATTTCTGTTGAGGATCCTTTCAATGGCTTTATAAAAATGACCAAAATAGACTGAAGTAACTATAGATATTATACCACATTTAAATAAAATTCTTTTTATAATCATGGATAAAAGCCAAGGCACACACAAAAATCTGTACTTATTGTAACAGCTGTCCAAATGTCCAACTATATAAAATAGAAGAGTGATGCATAAAAAAATTGAGAGGCATACATGCATTCCAAATCATTATTACTGTCCTTTCTCGGTAAATTGCTTGATTTAGTAAACCATCTACATTTCCATAAATGTTTCATCTCTCTCTTAGCAAAGAGCTTTTGAGAAGCACAGAAACCATAAAGAATGCAGTATTCAGCACCACCACACATATAGATCATACAGATCCACATTTCAGCTCTCTTTCAATGTCCATATTGCTAACCGCAACCAGACTGTCCCCAAAGGAACAGGAACTGAACTCTAACACTCCAATCAATCTTGCCCACAGTGAAAATAAAGCATAGCATAGCATGATGTGTGAACCCAGCCTATTGTTTCATCTGTTTCTTCAGTAAGAAGCTACTATAATTCATCCAAAGCAAAGCAAAACAGTATGCAGTATTCAGTATGGTATGTTGCCATACCATACCATATATACACGCATATGTACACACCCTAAAAAAATTAATTTTATCAAAGGACCCTAACTGGCTCACTAGAAAAGAATGCACTAAACTGCACCTAGATATACAAGATACTAAATCCATCAAAAGTTCAAACAGTTAGAAAAATCACAACACTGAACCACCCATACAAATACCATAACAAATATAAAAACAGCGATCAACTGCAACAGAACTAATTCTCATGCTTCATTACATCCTCACTTATTTCTTACTAAATCAATATGGTAAATAAAATAAGTCTGGCCAACCTCTTGATATATTGCCAGTAATAGGCTAGGTATTCCCACAGAGTTATATAAGACAATGGGAATACCACAGAAACCTGCCCATCAAACTGCTATATGGTAGACAAAGAGACATCATGAAGAAAGAGCTCTATTCTATCCTTGTGCACAGATTTAAATCTAGAAAATTGAAAGCAAATCCTGTAGCATAATATAACCTGTTATATTTGTATCTTACATTATGCACTAAAATAGCTTTTCCCAATTTAGTATAATCCCAACACACTAGAATGCAATTCTCTAATTTAGAAATTGTAGTACCAATGCATGTATGTGGCATCAGATTGGCGAAATTCTGTAGAACAGAAATAAACTTCCACTAGCCTTGACCTAAGAGAGATAGAAAGTTTCAGCTTTTGTCCTTGTATGCAACAAAGAGATGGAGCTTACAAATTTTGCATCTGCTTTTAGCTATGTAAGCTGCCTGAGAACTATAGTTTACATTAAACTAACAGTTACATGAACCAAGAAGTTTAGAAGACAGTTTGAAATTGACTTTAATTGCAGTTAATGTTAACCACAGTTGGGTACTCTAGATAACATAACTCTCAATTTGGGTAAAGAAAAAGACAATATTTCTCTCATTAATAGACTAAAGAAAAGGAAAGTCTACAAACAGAAGACCTGTTGAGATTTGTTTCCATTTGCACATGCTATGCTAAGTCACTGTTTAGCATGATGTACAAGTGCAAGCAACTTTAAAATTTAATTAGCTTTTTCCAAACAATAATTCAGTGCTATAACTTTGAAGGAAGTTGCAGAACCTGATCTGCCATGACAGTGCATCATCTTTGCTTGTTTAAAAAAAAAATGGTAAAAAAGAAATTAGGAATTTAAGATTCCATGCATATTTTCAACCCAAATAAGCGTTCTTCTTTATACCATTTCCAATAATAAACCATCAAAATGCACTGACAATACTTGCAAAAGTTATCTTTTGGAGCTGGAATTTTTATTCCCAAGTACCCACATGTCAATTACAGCAATAAAATAAAGGATATACATTTTATAAATAAGGAAATCAAGGAGTATACACAAACAACCAGATTTGCCTCTCTTAGATTTCCATAGTATACTCATAATAGATTTAGTTTTGGTGCAAAAACCAGAAACCACAAAATACGCTGAAAAAGCAACCTCCCATGTTTCCAAGCTGCTGATAGAAAACTTTGGCATCTAGATTATTTTTCAATTTATGCCAGAGATTCAAAGAAAAAAAAAGTGGCGGTTGCACTTTTGCTCCCAGGTCATTTTTTCCCCCTCTCAATGGGGTGCTGAGGGAGGAAGGGGGATATAGCCATGGAATATATAATATTGTATTGTTGAGTCTTTGAGCAGACATGGATGCTGTCTGGTTTTCTATATTGTGAAATGAAAACTAGTAGTAATTAAAACATCCAGACAAAAATATAAAAATAGGATTCTTACTCTTTTAAACTTGTTTATTCCCATTATCGACTGATATAAGAGAAAATGTCATTCCCTGATAAATAGAATTCATTTTCAGTATGAATGCATACTAGCCAGTAGAAATTATTACAAATATGCCTGTAAATTATACATATTAATTCAGACTTACCACTCTGGCTGCTCTTTCCTGAGATTCACATTTTCTACAAAACCAAGGTCCAGTGGGTACTTGCACAATTCCATAGCATGCTGGTTTGGGGGACAAAAACAAATAATCAATAACAGCATATAATATATACAAATATATTATTGACATACACCCAAAATATACCACTGAATTAAATTACCTGCAAAGTAATTTATTTATATATAGACATTGTGTAAGGCAAGTAATATATAGATACTAAATATATTTAGAAACATCCTGTTAATTCTACTTAAAATGTTACAATTATTCTATTTACAATAATACAACAGAGCATTCTCACCTTGAAAAGGAAAACATGTATAAAACAATTTTTCATAACAAACTGCAAACAGTTAAGGGTCACTATATGGTAATTATTTTGACAAATTTGAGAAACATTTTCGCCCTTAAAAATCAGTTTGATCAGTCCTTTTGTTAATAGAGCATGTTAATGGATACCATGTAACAAACTCTAAAGATGCAGTCTAAACCTAAATCCTTGTCTCTAATTTACCTCAAGTTACTAAATTGAGGTTTCCCCTAACAAAGGACTTATTTTCTTTTATAGACCTATCTTAGCACCCTAATCCATAACCCCACCCCTAATCTAATATTTTCCTAGGGACAAAGCATCCTTAATCAATTCAATTTTGATTTGCCCATTCAAACTTCTGTGTTTTTAGCTCCACCATACTCTCCTGACTTTCAACATACACTTTATTGTTCCCACATAGAAAATAAAAATAGACTTTGGGTCTACAATAAGAAAAATCAAATCCATAGTTAGTTAGTATCCTAATTGGGATCAATAACAATGATATAACAATTCAGGCAACTCTTCAAGTTGCCCAAAGCTCTTCATCAAACAATGTGGTACAAAAACCAGAGGAAGAAGAAACAGATTTGTTAGTTCCTGAGTCTTCAAGTTAGGTATGATATTGACTTTTCTCAATTGTGGCTTTAGTTCTTCTTTTGCATCAATAACCAACATCATTGTCTACTAGTACTATTATGCTTTTTGCCTTCATTAAATTAAAAATAGTTTCTGATCCTCTAATAAACTGTCTTGCTTATCATTCTTCAAAACTTGCTGTATATATTCATCCCAGAATCTCACTGTACAACAGATTATCAAATTAAATCTAACAAATCTATATTCCTACATGTCTTTCAACCTTGCAACTAGCTGCCCAGAGTTGCATCAATATTATAGCACTCTGCCTTCAGACTTTGACAGTAATTTAAATTAATAAGCGTGTATAATAAAACTATTGTAATCAATGTTGGTGCTACCACAGAATGCTATTCCTAGGACTAGTAAACAGATTATCCCACATACAGTGGGGCAAAAAAGTATTTAGTCAGCCACCAATTGTGCAAGTTCTCCCACTTAAAAAGATGAGAGAGGCCTGTAATTTTCATCATAGGCATACCTCAACTATGAGAGACAAAATGAGAAAAAAAATCCAGAAAATCACATTGTCTGATTTTTAAAGAATTTATTTGCAAATCATGGTGGAAAATAAGTATTTGGTCACCTAGAGGCCTGTAATTTTCATCATAGGCATACCTCAACTATGAGAGACAAAATGAGAAAAAAAATCCAGAAAATCACATTGTCTGATTTTTAAAGAATTTATTTGCAAATCATGGTGGAAAATAAGTATTTGGTCACCTAGAGGCCTGTAATTTTCATCATAGGCATACCTCAACTATGAGAGACAAAATGAGAAAAAAAATCCAGAAAATCACATTGTCTGATTTTTAAAGAATTTATTTGCAAATCATGGTGGAAAATAAGTATTTGGTCACCTAGAGGCCTGTAATTTTCATCATAGGCATACCTCAACTATGAGAGACAAAATGAGAAAAAAAATCCAGAAAATCACATTGTCTGATTTTTAAAGAATTTATTTGCAAATCATGGTGGAAAATAAGTATTTGGTCACCTAGAGGCCTGTAATTTTCATCATAGGCATACCTCAACTATGAGAGACAAAATGAGAAAAAAAATCCAGAAAATCACATTGTCTGATTTTTAAAGAATTTATTTGCAAATCATGGTGGAAAATAAGTATTTGGTCACCTAGAGGCCTGTAATTTTCATCATAGGCATACCTCAACTATGAGAGACAAAATGAGAAAAAAAATCCAGAAAATCACATTGTCTGATTTTTAAAGAATTTATTTGCAAATCATGGTGGAAAATAAGTATTTGGTCACCTAGAGGCCTGTAATTTTCATCATAGGCATACCTCAACTATGAGAGACAAAATGAGAAAAAAAATCCAGAAAATCACATTGTCTGATTTTTAAAGAATTTATTTGCAAATCATGGTGGAAAATAAGTATTTGGTCACCTACTTTTATACTGATAACAAGGTCAAACAGGTGCCATTACTACAGGTAACAAGTGGAGGACAGAGGAGCCTCTTAAAGAAGTAGTTACAGGTCTGTGAGAGCCAGACATCTTGCTTGTTTGTAGGTGACCAAATACTTATTTTCCACCATGATTTGCAAATAAATTCTTTAAAAATCAGACAATGTGATTTTCTGGATTTTTTTTCTCATTTTGTCTCTCATAGTTGAGGTATGCCTATGATGAAAATTACAGGCCTCTCTCATCTTTTTAAGTGGGAGAACTTGCACAATTGGGGGCTGACTAAATACTTTTTTGCCCCACTGTATACTTTATCACAGTCCATCATGAAAGTAACATTTGCCAATTCTACTTATTCCTTTTAGGCTTGGTTATGCACCAAATTTTTAGGTTTATATGATTTAAACTGAAATGTTGCATATGTATAAATCTCCCTGAAATTCATGTGCCACTGTTATAACTGAGTATAGGAATCACTACTGTGAAGATTATGGAACAACTGCTCCAGGACTATTGTATGGCATAAAATCCAACTATCTCATAAAGCAAAATAACTGTGACATGAGTAAAACCATCAAGGCTATATAGATAATACAGCAGTTTATTTTATCACAATAATAAAATAAAATAATAAAAATGCATCACAAGTGCATTTGAATCAGAATGTATGCATATTAATTTGAAAATGAAGTTGGAGTGAATTCAACTGGACTTACTCCTAGATAAATTTTACATACCTTGTACAATTTTACATACATTTTGTATTATAAGAGTCTTCATTTTCCAACTTAAATAACCAGGGAGGATTACTTTTCATTTTAGCTACACTTCTCTTTATCTACAAGAAAACTGATGGTCTTGGAGGCAGACTGATCCCAAAATAAAATCAGTTAAATCAAGCAAGTTGGCTTTTTGTAAGTACCAATAATAAAACAATATCAGATGTGACAATGATCTGGGCTGTATGCACATGTGCTTTTATAAAAGTTATAGTGCTTGTATCTCTGCTGTTGACTTCAGAAATCAACAACCATTTCATGCTTACTGAATATTTGAAAATAAAAAAAGGACACATACAAGAATTAGTAAGTGGTCCAAGCTACAAAGGAAGCATACAGACAAGTAGCCAGGAACTGTAATATGGAATTAGTGTCAGGAAAAGAAAAGTTCAGAATAAAATGAGTTAGGGAAGGATGCTAGGAATAACTTCCTAGAGTACTTAAGATACTAGCTGAGGTTCTAGTAAAATCCTTAGTTATTATTTCTGAGAAATCCTACAGAACTGACAAAATGCCAAATGCCTGAAAGGCAGCAAATGCTGTCCCTGTTGTCAAAAAGAAGGAAAAAGAAGATTTAGCAAACTTCAGACCAGTCAGTCTGGGAAAATTCTTGAAATGATCATAAAAAGATTGCTTTGTAAGGACCTTTAAAATTGTATAGTAATTATCAAAAGTTAACCAAATACAGAAATCTAGACAAATATAGAAATGTAGACAAATCTTATCTTTTGATCGGGCAACTTCCTTAATAGATTGTGGGAATGCTGTGAACATAATATATCTTGACTTCAGCAAACCATTTGAGAAAATATGTGATACGTTGATGAGCAACCTAAGCATTATATTATTATTATTCAGATTTGTTATAGCTGCCCCAATCTAAAAGCATGGGCTGGATGGCATACAATTAAGTGGATACAAAGCTGACTCAAAAATTGTACTCAACAATCAATGATTCCTTATCAAACTGGACAGCAGTATCTACAGCACTTGGACACCACACAGAAAATATAAATATTCTTTATAAGTTAGAGAAATTGACTGAACACAAAATAATGAGATTTAACAGTTCTGAGCAAATTTCTTCACTTAGAAAAAAGATTATGTGCACAGGTATCGAATAGGGGATATCTGGCTTGATACATGTGAGAAAGTACTTGTTAGAGTAGCTAATTGCAAACTGAATATAAGCCAGCAGTGGGATATGGTTGCAAAAAAGAATAATGCAACTTTAGGCTGCATCAATGGAAATGTAATTTCCAAATCACAGGAAGTAATCATTCCACTCTATTTTGCTTTGTTGTTGTTGTTTTTTTATCTGCGCTCAGTTGTTACCGACTCTGCAGTGACTGCTTGGACGAGTCCTTTGCAGTTTTC